TGGTGTGTCCCAGCTGTGTGTCCCAGCCCCGTGGTGTGTCCCAGCTGTGTGTCCCAGCCCCACGGTGTGTCCCAGCTGTGTGTCCCCAGCCCCATGGTGTGTCCCAGCTGTGTGTCCCAGCCCCGTGGTGTGTCCCAGCTGTGTGTCCCAGCCCCACGGTGTGTCCCAGCTGTGTGTCCCCAGCCCCATGGTGTGTCCCAGCTGTGTGTCCCAGCTGTGTGTCCCAGCTGTGTGTCCCAACCCCATGGTGTGTCCCAGCCCCACGGTGTGTCCCAGCTGTGTGTCCCCAGCCCCGTGGTGTGTCCCAGCTGTGTGTCCCCAGCCCCGTGGTGTGTCCCAGCTGTGTGTCCCAGCTGTGTGTCCCAGCCCTGTGGTCCATGCAGTGTGGGACACGCTCCCTCCTGCAGGGCTGGGCGAGCCCCTCCACAGGCTGGGCACTGCAGGAGACCGTTCTTGGTGGTGTCCTTCACCCAAGGCTGTCCTGTGAGGCTGCAGTGTCCTCAGCTGCCTTCTCACTCCCTCTAATCCTGTATCTCTGTGGGATGTCAGGGCGTGCAGGAGCCTGGGCTGGGGTGGAAGGAGAGACCTCAGGAATGGCTGATCCAGCCTGGCTGTTTCTTTTCCTGACCAGCAGCACATGTTCTGTGTCTAAATATTTTTCTCACTTTCTCCATGTGGAAGTTGTTTCCTGACGAGCTCCCTGGGCTTGGCTCGGAGCTGTGGTGAGACAGGGCTCGCCTGCACGGTCCTGTCAGGGATTCTGCCTCCACAGGAGGATCTGGGGGAGTTACAGGGAGCTCTGCACGGCTTTCTGGAGGCTGCACAAAAGCCCCAGAGCATCCTCTCTGCGAGTCAAATCCCTTTTCACAGCCCTGAGCACCGTGCCATGGGCTCCAGGGGCTTTGCCCGTGGCTCATGGCAGAGGAGTGGCGGGGAGGGGTGCAGAGGGAGCACGGCGTGGCGCTGGCTGGCAATTCCTGAGGCAGGAGCCCGGTTCTAGGATGGCAGCAGTGGCCCGTGGGGGGTTCTGGTGCCGGGAGCAGCGGCCTGGCGCGCGGGTGGCTCCTCTCCCCGGTCCCCAGCACGCCACCGCTCCTCCAGAGGACTTCTCCTGCTGCCAGCACTGGGATGAAGCCGCCTGGGAAGTCGTTTCCCGTTTGGCAGCGGCGGGGGACGATGAGCTGCGGGAGGGCCGGGTCCCCACGGCTGCTCCACGGTGTCCCGGGCACTTCCCCGCAGGTGCGGATGGCGCTGAAGAACGCCGAGAAGGAGCTGGAGTCCCACTGCAGCTGGGCCGCCCCCGAGGCTCTGCAGAAGTGGCTGCAGCTGACCCACGAGGTGGAGGTGCAGTACTACAACATCAAGAAGCAGAACGCAGAGAAGCAGCTGCTGGTGGCCAAGGAAGGGGTGAGAGCTGGAGCGGCCTCGTGCTGGGTCTGCGGGGAGATCTGGGGAGGGAAGCCTGGAGAGCTGATTTCTGTGCATCTTCTTTGTTTTGTGCAATCCCAGACTGGGTTGGGTTGGGAGGGACCTTAAAGTTCATCTCATTCCCTGGGTAGGGTCACCTTTGATTATTCCAGGTGCTCCCAGCCCCAATGTCCAGCCTGGCCTTGGGCACTGCCAGGGATCCAGGGGCAGCCCCAGCTGCTCTGGCAATTCCATCCCAGCCCCTGCCCACCCTGCCAGGGAACAATTCCTGCCCAAGATCCCATCCAGCCCTGCCCTCCTTCAGCTCAGGGCAGTTTCCCTCCATGCCTTGAATCTGTATCTTTTAAAAGTGCAGCACAAGCAAGGTGTGAGCAGGGGCTGAGCAGGAGGATGAGGATGAGGATGAGGATGAGGATGAGGATGAGGATGAGGGTGAGGATGCTGAGCCATGGGCTCTCAGGGTGGGCAGGTCCCAACCTGGGCACTGTTGGAGCCTGGAGCCCTGGGAATCTGGGGCAGGGATTGCTGCCCTGGGTACCTGGGAGGCTCTGTAACCTCCCAGCACGATCCCTGCTGCAGGTGAGGAGCACGCACAGGCAGTGGAATCCTGAGATCTGAGGTGAATCACTGCTGCGTTCCCAATCCAGGATTTTGTGTGCCAGCCCTGAGGGATGAGCCCAGGGAGCTGTTGAGACTCGTCCTCGTCCCCAAGGCCACACAGAGCCAGCAGAGCTGGCAGGAGGGAAAACTCTGTCTACCTTAATCTGCTTTGATTGGGAACATTTTACCATTCCAAGTTTTCCTTTATCTGTGTCAGTTCTTGCATCCACATCCTTGGCTTTCCTCAGTGCCAGGTTCATGCCACGGGGCTGGGAATGGAAGAACTCTGGGAGGAGACTTTAATTTGTGATACAATGACACAAATGACCTCAAACCAAAAATCTTGCCCAGCCCACACCCTGGGGTGTGTTTGGTGGTTATTCACGGGGGAGAGCAGCCAGTGTGTGAGAGCCCTTCACTGAGTGAGGTTCCTGGTTGATGGAATCATGGAATGGTTTGGGTTGGAGGAACCCTTGGAGACCTTTGAGTCCACCTATTCCCTTAGCAGTGCCCAGGTCACCACTGCCCCACATCCACAGGGCTGTGAAATCCCTCCAGGGATGGGGACTCCAACTCTGCCCTGAAAGTTCAGCCTTTTCAGTCCAATTCCCTCTGATTTTTTGGGAAACTGGGGGAGGGGAGCATGAAATCCCCAACCTGGTACTTGCTGGTGAATTCCTCACCCCAGTGTCAGGGAGAACAGCATTCCCACTATTCCCACATGTGCAGGCAGCTGCAGGGACTGTTCCTGTCCCAGCCCATCCAGGATGTCCATGGCCTGGAGGAGACATCAGGTTGTTTTCTTCCTGTGACCTTCCTCTGTTGATACTGCAGGCTGAAAAGATCAAAAAGAAGAGAAACACCCTTTTTGGAACGTTCCATGTCGCTCACAGTTCCTCTCTGGATGATGTTGATCATAAAATCTTAACTGCAAAGTGAGTGTCTGCTCAACACCTCCTTCATCCCTGCCTCTCTGCACCCCTCCCCTGGCCCAGGCAGCAGTGGCCTCACCTCTGCAGGGCTTTGGGGCTCATTTTGCTGAACTTCTCTTGTCCTCAATGACCTGGGGTTGGACTTGCTCCTCTTCTGATTTTACCTGTGAGAAACAAGGGATCACAGTTCCCTGGAGCAAATAAAACTCCTGCCAGAATGAGCTTCCAGGAGGCTGCAGGACACTTAAGGGATTGTCATGGAATGGTTTGGGTTGGGAGGGACCTCAGAGCCCACCCATTCCCAGCCCTGCCATGGCAGGGACACCTCCCACTGTCCCAGGAGCTCCCAATGTCCAGCCTGGCCTTGGGCACTGCCAGGGATCCAGGGGCAGCCCCAGCTGCTCTGGCAATTCCATCCCAGCCCCTGCCCACCCTGCCAGGGAACAATTCCTGCCCCAGATCCCATCCAGCCCTGCCCTCTGCCACTGGCAGCTATTCCCCCTTGTCATTATCCCTGGACACTTGAGCTTTGCTGCATTTTTTAATTGCTGTGTTCCTGGAACTGGGATGAGAAGTGTCTCGGATTTCAGGACGCACAGCTGACCCCATGGGCTCTCCTGCAGGTGATTTAGGGGGTGTTTTCCCTTCTCTGCCTCCATTGTCCCTGTGTGTCCCTGTCCCCAGACAAGCTCTGAGCGAGGTGACGGCGGCGCTGCGGGAGCGGCTGCACCGCTGGCAGCAGATCGAGCTCCTCTGCGGCTTCCAGATCGTCAACAACCCCGGCATCCACTCCCTGGCCTCCGCCCTCAACATCGACCCGGGCTGGATGGGCACGCCCCGGCCCAACCCCTCCCACTTCATCATGACCGACGACGTGGATGACCTGGACGAGGAGCTGGTGTCACCCATGTCCATGCAGTGTACGTCAGCCCTGGGAATGGGCCCCTGGGGGATCCCTGGGAATGGGGGATCCCTGGGAATGGGGGCTCTCTCTGCTGGGTTTGGGGGCTGTGGCACAGAGCTGACCTGCATCTGTAGTTCACCTGCATCAGGAGGGATTGATCCAAGTTGGGGTTTCCGTGCCCAAAGACCACAGTTGGTCCATTGGGATCAGGAGCATCCCTAACAGGGCAGGCCCCACTGCTGGGGTTGTTGGGAGCCTGTTAATTCCAGCAGAACTGGTAATCTAGCAAGTTAATCATCGTTCCATTCTATCTGTGCTGTTCTGGTGAACTCAGTGATTGAAGCATTTACCAAAACCCCCCTGGCCAAAGGCACGGGTAGCCATGGCAGTGAGACAGGAACAGGAATTATCCCGATGTCCCCTTTGCCCAGGCACTTTTTTGGGATTTAAAGGACTCAAAGCTCCCCCTCCTGAGGCACAGCTGGAGCTGCACCATTCTGGGTGGGAGCAGCAGTCTGCTGACCTGGGGGTCCTGTTAAACATCCCCTGGAGCAGAGGCTGGGCCCCCGTGTGCCCAGCTCTGTGCAGGGCTTGGGGTCACCCAGGGGGACATCCTGACCCTTTGGTCGGTGACAAAGAGCTCCCAGGGTGGCTGTCCCTGCTCCACCGAGCCCAGGTCCCACACAGGGAGGGCTGAGCATGGATCACCCTGTGCCTCTGAGCCCCCAGCTGCTGGGCTGGGTGACACTGTCACCTTCTGTGCAGCAGCTGGGACTCAGCCCTGCCTGTTCCTGCCTTTAGCTTGCCCAGATCCTGCCTTGCTCCTCCCAAAAGGGCGTTTTCCAAATAGTTTCCCACTGGGCATGAGAGAGTGAGAGAGCTGAAGAGCAGTGCCAGGGGCTGGGGGCACAGGAGCAGCCCCTGGCCAGGGCTGTCAGTGAATCAGGGAGTCACAGGGGGCACTGGGTTTGAAACTCATCCGGTTCCACCCCCTGGTTCCACCCACGCCTGCCACTGTCCCCGGCTGCTGGCAGCCACAGCTGCTCTGGCCCCTCTGCACCATCTCATCCAAGGCAGGGCTGTGTGGGGAGCAGCAGGAGGAGCACAGGGGTCTCGGGGCTGGCACTGTGTGCTGCAGGAGGTGCCTCTGTGCCAGGGCCACGTCCCCTCAGCCTGGGGCTCGGCTTTGGTGCTGAGGGGGGCTCAGGGCAGGGGGAGAGACAGAGCTTTGGGTGGTGCAGGAGGAACAGGGGTGCTGCAGACTCAGGGCTTGGAGCCACGGTTTGTGGGATCAGGTGTGCTTGGGGACGTTACAGCTTCAGGGGACAGAGACCTCCTGCTCTTTGTCACCACCAGTCACCATCAGAATCCAGCTGGACGTGTCTGATAAAGGCCTGGCACAGCCCCAGCTGGGCACTGATGGCAGGGATGCTTGGGACAGTCCCAGGTGACACCTGAGACCTCAGCTGGGCCAGGTGTGAGCCTTCAATCCTGATTTCAGCCTCAGCTTCTTCACACTTGAGACCCCTGGAGTGAGACATTCCAGGGAGCAGTTCCAGTTTCACCATGGCAGAGCTGGGCAGAGAGCCTGCCCCCCCTTGTGCCCCCCTGTGTGCCCAGCTGCCCCCCTTGTGCCCCCTGTGTGCCCAGCTGCCCCCCTGTCCCTCCCTGCAGCTGACACACCCTGCAGCAAGTGCTGGGAGCTCCAATTCCCAAAGCAAGGGAGCCTTTCCCTGAGGATTTATTTCCTTTGTGTCCAAACCCTGCCGTAGGAGAGCAGTGCTGAGTTTCCCCTGCTCAGATGTGTCACTGAGGACCCGTGGTGCTTCTCCCAGTAAATCCCATCTCTCTCTTTGCTGTTTTTCCTGTTCCCACCTGGCTGCCCCCCCCAGACGCAGCCTGGCTTTTTGGGCGCAGGTTCAGCGACCGCTCCTCGCTGTCCTCGGAGGATCAGTCCCTCTGGAAATACCCTGGTTTGGTTCTCTTCAATTATATTTTCTTTTTTTTTTCTTTCTGCCCTCTGGCCTTTTTCTGGACTAAAATACATCCACCAGTTTCCCACCTTTCTGGCACAAGAACTAATGAATGTATCTCTCCTCACTGAGCCGTCGCCACCTGTACTAACCCTGGGAAGAGTCTGGTGGGATGAAGAAGAATCTCAGCTGCAGCTCCCACGCGCTCCTGGGTGCAGTTAGGGAATCTGGAGGGTTGGACTCACTCCATTTTACCCCTGAGGTGGAGATGAAGGACCCAGTGAGGCCAGGAGGAGGTGACAGCATTCTCTGTCCATCCCACCTCCTTCCCTGCTGCCCCATCCCTCCCTGCAGGTGCAGCAGGTGCCGTGCTCCCTCAGAATCCCCGGGTGAACTCTTGGGGAGAGCTGTTCCCTGGAGCCCCAGTGCCTCCTGGCCTTGGCTTCCCCTGGGAGCAGGGCCAAGCGCTGGCTGTGGTGGGAGGGAGCAGCTGATGTGCCAGCCC